GTCCCAAGGTGGACCTTTTAGTACTTGACATTTCAAAAAAAAATTATTGAAATTGGTTCACAACTTCAAATTTTAGGAGGGTGTTTCCATTAAAAATGGAAAAGAGAAATGAAACTTTCTTTTTTTTCACCACTTTCAAAAATTTAAAAAAACAGAAAGTTTCATTTCTCTTTTCTTCATTATGATTTCCTACCATGTAGTAACGGCTATATCCATAAATTTATCACATATATATTCATAAGGTTATTTCAAAATTTTCGTTTCTTATGCTTTTACTCTGAACTGTAATATTTTAATGAATATTCATTCAATTCAATCGAAATGAGTCATTTGAATCAGGTTACCAGGTATGTAGGTAGATGTAACAATATATCCACTAAAAGTTAATTTACTGTTGGATGTAATACCCAAATTTTGATATTCGAATGTATGTCAAGAATTCCGTCCCCTTTTTTTCGGTTATACTGTCTGACAAAAATTTGCATTTGCAGATATTGATAACGTTGATGAAGCTTGTTGCATTGTACAGTCGTGAACAATTTATTATGCTTTAAAATATCATTTTATCAGACATTTCATTGCATAATTCATACAAGATATGGTTTATAGCAAGTCAGTTTCAGTTAAATTTATGAGGGATGTCATATCAACTGAAGCAAATATAAACATATCAGAATAGAATTATCTAGCACAGCATGAAAGTCGTTGAATATAAAATTGATTACATAAATGAAGAAGTACAAGTTGAAGTTATGTTTTTGTTCCAATATACTCATCTTTAAAATAATAATAATCAGTTTATTAGCAGAGTCTTGTGACACTATCAATCATGTAGGGGAGACCGGGGCAAGATGAAGTTCGGGGCAGCACGGGAAGTAAGCTTGTGTGCGTGAATAGTAATCGTGTTCGGAGCGGCGACAGCGCCATTTGCACGAACTTCACTCTCCGCTAGTGTGTCCAAGCAGAGCGAACAGGTTAGAACTCGTTTTTGCGTTGCAGAGAGAAAAAAGTGATATTGCAAGTGTTTTTACGCGATATTTGATTCGAAAACTGATGTACAGACATG